ACGACCCCTTCCTACCCTTCTTCTCAAATGGCAGAGGATGATTCTTCCTTAGCCCATGATCCAGATCTCCTCGACATTGTCTTGTGTTCTGTCTCTCTGGAAGACTCCCTTGATAAGCTAGGTAACGAATTGCTAGCATTACGTGGCTCATGGGCTCGAAAAGCGAAGACTAAGGGCGAATTGTTGTTTGCAGATGTTGAGATCGCACGAACGCGAGTTGGTGCGATGTTGGATCCAGGATCAACGAGGTCCTACATCTCCGAGAAAGCAATCCGTAAGTTGCATCTCGGCATGAAGGTAAAAGACTTGTCTCGACCTATAATGTCTATGATAGCAGACAAGAGTACGATCACTGTCTCTTAGTGTGTTTATCGTATTAAGTGTCAGTTTCGAACGAGGGAAGGAAAAAAGATTGTGCATGAATTATCCTTCCTCATAGAAAAGAATTTACCTTTTGATATCATTCTGGGTATGGACTGGCACGAAGAAGCCAACCCGGACATTGATTTCAAAAACAAGATTGTGCAACTCAAAGATGCGCMATCAGAAATGAAACCAATTAAATTATATCATAAGTCTGGCTCTGACTCAAGTCTATCCTTTTGCTGTATGAGTTATCCAGCTTTTCGTTCAATGGTTTCTAAGAAAAAGTTGGAACAGGAAGTTATGATGGTGCTGGTAAAGAAAGTCGGTGAGTCTTCTTCTTCCTGTCCTCCGACGATTGAAAGTTTTCTCTCTAAATATAAGGATCTGCAGAAAGAACCCATCGGAATTACTGGACGTATTATAAAGCACACTATTGAGATTATTCCGGGTAGTAAAATTCCTAAGGGCCCTATCTATCGAATGTCTTCCAGGGAACTTGAGGAGTTATAGAAACAACTGCAGGACCTTACTGACAAGGGATGGATTTGCCCTAGTTCATCTCCTTATGGAGCACCTGTCTTGTTTGTGCCTAAAAAGGAAGGTGAATTACGTCTATGTATTGACTACGGAGGGTTGAATGTCGTCACTATCAAGAATGCCGAACCACTCCCTCGCATCGACGATTTACTTGATCAACTATAGGGATGCAAGTATTTCAATAAAATTGATCTGAAGTCTGGGTAGCATCAGATCGAGGTGGAGCCCGCAGATCAGCACAGGACTGCTTTCCGGACTAGGTATGGGCATTGCGAGTTTATGGTCATGCCCTTCGGATTGACTAATGCTCCTGCTACATTTCAACGGTCAATGAACGAGTTATTTCGTCAATGGTTGGATCAGTTCGTCATCGTCTATCTGGATGACATTCTCATATATAGTAAAACACTAGAAGAACACGAGAAGCATCTTCGTCTGGTTTTGAGTAAGTTGCGAGAAGGCAACTTCAAAATCAACCCGAAGAAGTCTGAGTTCGCTAAGTCTGAAGTTTTATACTTAGGACATATAGTGAACCAAGATGGCCTCGGGCCTGAAGAAAAGAAAATATCAGCAATTAGAGACTGGCCACAACCAAAGTCTGTAATTGAGTTACGATCTTTTCTTGGCTTGGCGAGCTACAATAGGAAGTTTGTCAGGAACTTCTCATTGATCGCTGCACCAATGAGAAGATTGTTAAAGAAAGGAACGATCTGGTTGTGGGACAAGGATTATGAGTCCTCGTTCAAAAAGGTAAAGTACGCTGTGACTCACTACCCTGTTCTGAAAATTGTTGATCCATCTCTTCCCTTTATTGTCACAACTGATGCAAGTCAGTATGGGATTGGCGCGGTTCTTCAATAGAACGACGACAACGGTTACAGACCGATTGAGTTTATGTCTGCACGATTGCCATCTGAAAAGGTTGTGAATTCTACCTATGAAAGGGAATTGTATGCGATAGTCTGTGCCTTAGACACCTGGAAACACTATCTATTAGGGAGACACTTTCCTGTGTATTCAGACCAGTCTACCCTGAAGTGGATAAAGACACAGCCTAGGCTTTCTGATAAGCTAGTACGATGGTCTGCATTCATTGATACTTTTGATTTTGAGTTGAACACTATCAAAGGTAAGTCTAACGTGGTTGCAGATGCATTAAAGATGTGATTTCTTTGGTGCCATTGTCTCTTACCTAGATGTTGGGAATGATATGAAAGATAGAATTCGTCAAGGCTATGTTAATGATCCTATATGGAAACCTGTCATGGATGTCCTTGCGAAAGACCCGAGTCTACTTCCCAACTATAAGATAACTGATGGTTTGCTTTTCTTGTTAGACCAAACTGAACAACGATTGTGTATTCCTCATCAGGAAGAAATCAAAAGTCTGCTTATTGGGGAATGTCACGACGCCGAAGGTCATTTTGGTTTCAAGAAAACCTACGCTGAAGTTAGAGAACGCTTTGAATGGAAGGGATCGAAAGAGGATGTACTAACTTATGTTCGTACTTGTCTTGTGTGTCAGAGAAACAAACCCTCACATGAGAATCCACTTGGTCTTCTCAGACCGTTACCAATTCCAAGCGAACCAGGCGAGTCTATCTCCATGGATTTCATGAGTCTCACCAAAAGTCGAAATGGCAATAGTCAAGTGATGGTGATCGTGGATCGTTTCTCTAAGTATGCTATGTTCATTACCTTATCCGCAGAAGCGAAAACGGAACTTGTGATCCAAAAGTTTCAGATGCGATGGGTTACTGAGTATGGTCCCTTTATCCATTGTATGTGATCAAGATACCAGGTTCACAAGTATGCCATGGCAAAAGCTGATGGAGGCATACGGTACACCTCAAACCATGTCGTCATGTAGACACCCCGAAACGAATGGACATAGTGAACAAATGAACCGTTTGTGCCAACAACTTCTGCGCATGTATATAAGACCCGATCAAATAGATTGGGATGAGAACTTACCTAAAATAGCAAGTGCATACAATAATAGTGTTCATACCTCTACAGGACGAACACCTAACGCACTGCATAAAGGGTGGAAACCTAAGCGTCCCATTGATGTATTGACAAGGGAACAGTTTCTTAGGTTACCTCCAAGGACCCGAGAATACGCAGTATTGTTTCAAGAAGACATTAAAAAGGTAAAGGAGAATCTAAAGAAAGCTCAGGACCGGATGATCGAACAAGCTAATAAACATCGACGACCATCAACGTTCAAAGGTGATCTGGTTTGGGTCAAGTCTAAAGAGTTTTCACTAGAAGAAAATGTGTCTTAGAAACTTCTGCCTGTCTATTTTGGACCCTAGGAAGTTCTTAAAGTGATTGGATATGCAGAGGGACCGTCTTACAAAATTGATGTACCCCCCCATCTCAAGACCTATTCTGTCTTTCATGCGTCCAAGTTGCTACCTTACGTAGAAGGAGATGAATTCCCCCATAGACCATCTATGAAGTGGACCGAATTCTAGAACATGGGTTCTTCTCTACAGGTGCACGTGGACGACCCGAGAAGCAATTCAAGGTACGTTTTAAGACTCAAGCACCATCTGAGGACAGATGGTTTAGTAAAAGAGAACTCCTTGAATCTGCTCCTGATATTGTCTCTGCTTATGAACGTGGGTTGAAGTCTTAAATGTTTCTGCGATGGAACTCGAAAATTGGGTCGGCAGGAATGCAGTAACCCTGTTTAGCAGCAGACCGGGGCTCAGAACTTCGCCCCCGGTAAAAACACAGACTCAGTTGTCTGTGCTGGGCTATGTGACCGAGACATGCCCAGTTTGAGACTGTCGAGGAGGCTGTGTGACTGAACGCGACACAAAGGAAATTCAACAGTCAAAGTCAACTGTAGAGTCAAAGGTACCGCACCCACGCCTATGGTCGGATACATTCACTTGTTGTGTACAGGTACCCAGACAACATTCAGGGCGGGAGGAATACAGTTTCTGGCCAATCTGGGCCCTCATTCACATCGAGATCTGGACGGTACAGGACTTCAGCACCCGAGGTCCAGACCCCGCATCCACGCTACTTAAGAGTTGACTTCCTGGCTGTATGGGCATTCGGTCTTGTGTCAATGCTGCACGCATTGACTTTGACATTGACGCTGCGACGCTGCGACATTGGCTTGACGTTGGCTCTATGCTGGCATAGGAGGAGGACGGCAAGGCGCTGCTGGCTGGCATAGTGGTTGGCTGGCGATGGTCTTCTAGGCATGCTGACGTGGCAGCTGCCATGCGCCATTGCTGACGTGGCCGCTGCCACCTGTATATGATTGATGACGTGGCGGGCTGCGAGATTGATGAGGCTGTTCTGATTCTTCGTCACTTCGGAAGGGGATCAAGATTGTGGTTATCGAGGATACGTAACTGGTTGATGACGATACTCTCCAGTTGCTGATGCAGACAGATTGACGTGCCACGTGGCACATTGAGAAAGAACTTCAGACATTGTATTCGGACTATTGATTGATGAGTTGGTGAGGAGAAGGAGGGACCCGAAGCAGAAGCGGGCTATTGTCTTCTTCTCTCTCCTTTGTCTATTCCCCCTCTCTCCTCCTTCGTCTGTGGATGATTCCCACCTCATTCTATCATCACACATTTGCGATTGTTTGTCATTCATCAGCAGATTGATAATCATATGGATTAGTAATGTTGACGAGTATCATCACGTCTGGGCTCATTACAATAGCGATTAGTCTTGCATATTTGGAAAAACGGTCTACTATAACGAAGATGTGCCTTTTTCCTAACCTGCTGGTCACCTTAGTATCCATCAAGTCCATGGACACACTCTGGCCATGACCTTCAGGAATCGGCAAGGGCTTGATGAGCCCGAGCGCAGCCTGAGTCCTAGGTTTGTCTCTTTGGCAAACCTGGCAGGTTTCAACGTACTTTTTTGCATCTTGCATTATAGTTGGCCACTAGAATCTTTGTACTAGGCTAGCTGATGTTTTCCTATAACCAAAATGTCCAATTGCATGGTGACACTCACCTATAAATAAACTACGCAAAGACTCACTACTCGGAACACACACTCTTTTATTCCTTGCCTTTTCAAGAAACAGCAAGGTGTCTACCATCATAAATTCATCAGAAGTTACTTTATCCTTCTCTTTGAACTTACGGATGATCTCAGACATAACTGAGTCTTGCTGATAGGCCTCCACCAAAGATCGAGTTAGATTATTAGATATGCCAAATTCAGTCACTTGCACGCCCAAGTAATCTGCCCGACGTGAGAGTGCATCAACTACCTTGTTGTACTCTCCCTTGATTGGATAAAGTTGATAGTCATACATGTCTATCACTTGAATCCATCGCTTGAGTGCGTCAGAGAGTACCAGTTGTGTTTGATCCAGCGCAGGGTCTAATGGTCAGATCTCACATAAAAGAATTTGCCAAGGAGATAGTGTCATTAATGGACCAGCGCTCGGTAAAGGGTGTAAATCTCACGCTCGTAGGTAGACCTGGCTAGTTTCTGAGATGACATCGTTTTGCTCATGTACTCGATAGGTCTCCACTTGGTCCCCTCCTTTTGCACAAGGACCGCGCCTATCCCATATTGGCTAGCGTCTGTGGTGACTACAAATGGCTTATCAGGATCCGGAAGTTTAAGAACCTCGTAGTGTGTTAGGGCATACTTCAGTTTCCTGAAGGCCGCTTCACACTCTTCAGTCCACTCCCAAGGGGTGTCTAGTCGAGTTAGATCTGTTAATGGGGAAGCTATCGTACTATAGTTCTTTACAAATGGACAATAGTAGCCCGACATCCCCCAAAACAATCTGACCTCAGTAACAGTCTGAGGTCTGGGCCAGTCACGTATGCTGGCCACCTTAGCATCATCCGGCCTCAATCCATCCGTTGAGATTGCATGACCCAAGTACAAGATCTTGGTTTCTCCAAGTTAACCTTGTACTGGTGCTGTCTTAGGATACCTAGCACTATTTTCAAGTGCTAAGCGTGCTCCTCTACAGTCCTACTAAAGATAAGAATATCGTCGAGGTACACGACGGTAAACTTGTCTAAATAATCGGGAAATATCCAGTTCATTGCGTGCTGGAACATACCATTGCATAGGCCAAAGGGCATCACCACAAACTCGTACAGACTGTACCTGGTCTGAAATACGGTTTTGTGCTGGTCCTCAGGCCTAATGGCAATTTGACGGTATTCAGACTTCAAATCTATTGTGGTGAAGTACCGGCATCCCTGCACTCTATCCAAGAGGTCGTCGATGCGGGGTAGGGGCTCCGCGTTTCTTAACGGTGATGGCATTGAGGCCCGTATAGTCAATGTACATCCTCAGGGTACCTCCCTTCTTTGGGACAAATAAGAATGGCACACCGTAAGGGGAGGTACTAGGCCGAATCCATCCCTTTTCTGTGAGCTCCTTGAGCTGGCGGCGGAGCTCATCCAACTCCGTAAGAGACATCCTATAGATTCGTCCTCTAGGTACCTTACTACCTGGGACAACCTCTATTGCATGGACCACCTCCCTTTCTACCACGCCTGTGGGCTCCTCAAAAAGGTCTGAAGATCTTGCGACGACCGATTCCATCTCTGGGGGTGTTTTAACGACCTCCCCTTTCTCAGAGACAAAAACTAGATACATGCCCTCCTCACAATTTTGCTTGTAGTAGTTATAGAAAGAGGAAGCACACATGCAGCCGTAGTTCTCCACTAGATTGCTAGCCTTATACTTTTGCAGTCTTACGGTCCTACCATTTGGCAACTTGTATATCAACACCTTCCTATCCCAATCAAAGTAAGGTTGCGCAACCTCGAGGTAGTACATGCCTAGTAGTATATCGAAGGGCAGTTCGTCGCTGACGAGGAATGAGATTTTATGTCTCACTTCCCCTCCTCCATAAGAGAAGGAACAGACTACGTCCTTGACATAGTCTTTAACAATCATTTGGTGTTGGTTGGCTAGCGTAGAAGCTAGAGTTCTGCTAAGCTACTGCAGTTGGTCCCCTAAGCGCAGTCTATCCACACAAGCACGACTGATGAAGTTTCGTGTAGAGCCTATGTCTGCGAAGGGGCCCACTTTGCGGCCACCTACATCAACCTCTACCACAAAATATTCACCCTTTGGACCTCTACTAATCATCGTCCAAGAGTCTCTGGGTCCTTCCCTGACCACTCAGTCTCTAACTCTTCTAGGGCCTCAGACACATCTCTCGAACAGAGCGTCGGTGGGTCTCAATGTGTCTGTGGGGCGATGTTCGGGTCACTAGCCCTGGCCAACGCCCGAAGCGGGGAAGGTAACGTTACCACTTCAGCGCAAGTAAGAGCAAGTAAAACTCCTACTGGCCCGAGGTGTTTCTTTGCGAAGTGCTCGCAGAAGCACCGCCAGGGTTCGAAGATAGTCCCACCACCGTTGGAGAGGATACCCTCGTTAGGACTTTCTGCCTCGGCACGTTTCGGGATGTGTGGCCATAGTTGCCACACTTCATGCACGTGTCCCTAGCAACTCGGTCTCTCCACACCTCATACTCTAAACCAAGTATCACACATGCGGGCATTGCTTGGTCGCCCTAACCCGTAGACCGGCCTACCTTCTTCTTTCTCGTCCCCCTAACCTTTTCTTTGATGGGTGTCATGACTCCCCCATCTGAAGCCTCGCTGGCCCCATCGTGCTTTGTCTCCTCCCCAAGGTCTGGGAAGTCGTCATTTTTTGTCGCCTGACCATCGAGGTCGACGAACATTAGTTGACCTTTCTTCTTCCAATCCTGGGGTGGTCTCTTATTCCTACCATCTCCTTGACTCTGATGCGCGGACCCTTGTTTTGTGTCTATATCTAAGGCCTTCTTGCTGAAGGAGGCGAAGTTGTGCTGCTCGGCATAGGCCTTGTCTACCAGCTTTGTCCTAACCTCCGAAGGTAGACATCTAAGGTAATCTGTGAAGAGTACCTGCTGGTCATAGCGCACACCAGGACCATGAGCAGACGCTCTACGGTATCTATGAGCTCTCTAACATTCTTGTACCTTCTGGCAAAAAGACTGTTGATCGTATTTGTGGCCTTTTGGGCCCCTTGCGGGTCATGCCACCTGTTATACACGGACCGTATGAACTCTTCCACTGTCTGGGCCTGGGCGCAGGCATCGAAGTTCTAACCGTAGCCCTGCTGCTGCACCAGGCCATTCAACCAACGGGCTGCTGACCCCTCTATCTAGAAAGGAGGCAGCCACTACAACTTCTTGCTCCGGCCTGGTAAGCTTGTGCCTCACATAAGTAGGCACCGTCCTTACCTAGGTATCCAAATCCTCATCCTTCTTCCTGTCATCAGAGAAGGGCTTAGGACTCAGCAAGGGTATTTTGGGCATCCACTGCAAAGGCTGCATTGGCCTCGGGGACTGCTGCGGTGGTTGCATAACCATCGAAACAGGTTGTTGCACACTAACCTGGGCCTGGCTTGTCAGTGGGACTGTAGTAACCACTGTCGTCGATGGTACGACTGAGACTCTTAAGGACAGGACCACTAGTCGCCACATAACCACCTGGAGGGGGCATGCCAAACATAGGTGAGAATGAAGGCCCTACCCGCGACGGTGTCACTGATGGACCCGCACCCGAAGGGGGAGCTACGGCAAATTGAGGTTGCCTCATCACTGGACGAGGAGCCTGTGGTGCAGCTAGAATTCTTTTCTGGCCTGCCACTAGTTCAGCCAACACCTCCTGCTGAACTACCTGCGTCTCCGCCACACAAAGGAGCGAGTTACGCAGCGCTCGCATCGCAGGGTCAAGTGTTGACTCACCTAATGCTTCTAATCTGCTTAGCTCCTGCAATCTACTACCTAGTCTAGCTTTTCTCATGATTGCTCTTCTTCTTCTCTCTACTGCCTCATCCAATTGCCGCTGTAGCTCATCTTGAAGTTCTTCCGCTTGGAGGATCTCATAATCCTCCGGCGTGAGTTGAGCCTGCTGGCTGACTTGCAAGCCAACACTCTGGCTAATGGAAGCCTGAGAACCACTATGACTAACTCCTGACGAAGTGGCCTGTGAAGAGGCCTGCGACATCGTAGAGGAAGTAGCTAGGGTCGTACAGGTGCTAGCTGTAATTCTAGACCTGGCGCTGGCCTCAGCCACCCTCGCTCTTCTTGCCGCTGTTCTCTCTCTAGCCTCTCTCCACAATCTCCCCTCGTCTCCTGGACCTAACTCTAGGAAAGTCAAAGGTCGACTGAGAGCAGTTCTACGAGTGGTCCTACGATTGTCCACTAACAACTCCTCACTAGTGCTTGCATCACTCATGAGCTACAGTGTGTGTGATCTAAACTAGAATCCACACTGAATCCTACCTCAACATGACACACAACCGATTATGATACACAACTAACTTCGGTCGGCCTGGAGAGAAACAATTAAGTGGTTTGGTGTCAACCAATGTCAGATCCTACATGGAATATTAAATCTATTTTTAGATTACTCTGATACAGATGGCATTGCAGCAAAGAATATGCAGTTGTCTGTCACTTGTTAGTCAAGTCCGTAACAACTAAATAATCAAAAATAAAATAATGCTCCCTGCAGAGTTGTATGTTGAATGGCAATTTATCAAGTTATTGCCACCGCAAACAGTTAACAGAATCCCCCCTCCCTGTATCCTTCTTGAGTTGTCACTTTGTGTCCACACCCTAAGCATCTGGCTGAGCAGCGTGTCTAACGGTGTGCAATCCGGCCCACCCCTGTGCTCCAAGTCAACGTCGAACCTGCCAGCCCCTGCATATTATTTATCCTCGCATGCAACAAGCCTTACACCCGGTTTGATCTGGCTGATCAGGAGGCATTTAACGAGATCCCCCGTAACTCCTTAGGAATTATTTAACGACGTAGACACGATGACGATCACAGCCAGAATCAACACCGAGTCCCTGCGAGAAATATTTAGAGATGGTCTGGTAAGCGTCTGTTCAAAGGTCTGGCATGCCCTGCGTGACCTCTATTGCGCAACTTCAGAACCAAGGACTTGCGGCAAAGCATGTGTGTACTAGTCCCAACGGGTTGGCATGGTGACTGTGACCCGAGTGCTTCGTCCAGGGCCCTTCAGAGGCATCGCCCGTTTCCCACGAACTTGCTGCCTAGGAAGAATGTCGACTCTTAAGGTTGAGCGCTCGCGACACCTCACATTGAGAGGACTCTCCAAACATAACTCACTTCCTCACTGTAAGAAGCAAAGAAGAGGGTAGATAAGAAAGGAAGCAACGTAACTCGTAATGCTGCCCCCAACCACAGATTTCTCACCGGCAACCCGATGTGCATTTATGATGACCGGTCTTTGCCTCGGCACAACCAACAACAGAATGCAGTTCCACCTCGGTTTAAATGCCACATCAGCGAGCTCTCATCATCCAGCGTACAACCCTAATGTCACCACATAGCTTCCTGGCGCGCCCACACGACCCTGGGCCGCCTACCGTTCAACGCCCAAGCCTTATCACTGCCCCACACCTCATGCGAAGCACCGAAGAGCTATTGCGAAGAACCAATGAGCGCTGTTCGAACCAGCTCCGATACCAATTTGCAAGGAAAATGAACAAAAGCGAGATGACAATATTCAGATTGCACAATCACATTGAAGGCCAGATCGTATCACATTGTTGAGAAAGTAGCATTTCACCAATATGACACCAATGGAGAATAGTAGCACTGAAAATCAATGTCAATGAGAGTTTGCTCTCGCCACCACCAACATGAGAGTCCAAACCCTATCTCCCTACTTGGCGCTCGACGCCCAGCCTACTTCCTACACAGCTACAGTCTGCCTACTAATTGACAATGCAACTGTTGACGTCAGCAGCACTCGAAGTACTTGAAGACGTCGCCCATGCAGAACCATCGCCAATACCAGGTATGTGCCCTCACATCATCATCATCATCATCATCATCCTTCTCTCTCTCCCTTGGCTCTCTCCCACGTCTTCCTTTGTTGTACACCTGAAGACCACCCCTGCGCCTCACTGTACATCCAAGCCCTGCCAGCTATGGAGGCTGGGCTATGGCGCTGCCCACAGCAGCGCCCTGCTCCCTGCACGACCGCACGTGCCTGTACTTCGCAGCTCAGCGCTAGCAGCAGCCCACGAGCTTCAGCTCCAGCAGAGCTGCCGTCAGCATGCAAGTGCCCGAATAATGACTGGCCAGGTAGCGAGCTCTTTCCTATATGGAAACAGCCTGCCTCATTTGGCAACCTGGCTGGACTGGCCTGAGCCCAGAAGCTTCCGATAGGCCCTAGGATGCTGCGCTTCTGGTGCAACTGGGCCTCGTTTGGTTGGGCCTCCCAAATGTCTGTGTATGAGGCTGCGAATCTCGCCCAGGGCCTGTGCTTTCGGAAAGGCCTAAAAGGCCTGGAAATTTCCACGCTGCTCGGCCTGTGTGTTCCTTCAACCAACTGGCGCGACGAAACTGCCTGGACCCCAAATGCGAAATTGACTGCCGAGGGCCTCTTGTGATTTGTTAGGCCCGCCTTCACTTAGGGTGGGCACAAATGCAACAAGGGCCTCTTAGGCCAGCCGAGGATCTGACTCCTTGCAATTAATTATTTTTCAAAAATTTTGAAATTACTCATTTCTTCATAATCAATGGTTTCTTAAAATTTTTGTAATTCGAAATAATTCAAAATTAATTCAATTATTTTTCGACATTTCCTTTTCGACAATATTTCTAATTAACTCGTTTTCAAAAAAAAAAATTGAAAACTACGAACTTCGGAAACAATTTGGACTGATTATTCTTCGGAATTTTCGTAATTCAAAAATCTTTTCGTTTGACTTAATTCACGACTGAATTAATCACTTTTTTTCTCAGAATGAATTATTTTTTTTCATTTGGAAATTCCTAAAAAATCTGCGTTCGTATTTTATTGAAAAATAAATTCTCGATTCTCGAATTAATTTTGAATAAATTGAAATTAATCATTTCTTGCTTTGTGATTCTCTGCTACCTTTATTGCTAAATCACTTGTTGACGCTCTACTCTTGTAAATAGGAATTGTTCCCCCCTTCTGCACATGCCACCACGCCAAACCAAGATCTCCCAACGCGCCGCCGCCGCCGCCGCTGCCGCTGTTGCTGCCGCCGCCACCGCTGCCGCTATCACATCGGCTGCTACCACCTCCACTACTCCATCTTCATCCGCCACCTCGCCTTCGTCCTCTCCAATGGCCGAAGGTGCTTCAAGCCTCAACATGAGCTCTCTCCGCGCCGACTCCGTGGCGGATATCCACCACTAACTCGTTGGCCAACAAGCCATCGGGGAGAACACCCCCGCCCCATCTCTCTGCTCCATCCTTCGGTCCGTACAGTACTCCCTCCGAACACTCTCCACTTCCATCGCTGACATCTCAAGCCGGTTGACCGCCCTCGAGTCCCAAACCACTACCCCCTTCATCCAGGTGGTCACCACCACCAACCCCACGTCCACAGCCGCCTCCAGCCACAACCCCCCGCCGACCTCCTCCACTCCTACTACCTCTACGACCACATCCACCACCTGTGCGTCCTCCACCATTCCCCTCCCCTCATCCGACGCTTCCAGGACACCGCCTCATTCCTCGCCTAACCACGCCACCCCTCTTTCCCCCCTGCACTCCCATACTATCTCACAACCCATCATGACGACCTCCACCACCCCCACCCCCCATCCCACCAATTCCCAAGTCACCTCCGGGGTTTACCCCGCAATGCCACAACATCCCCCCAACTACCTCCTTGACGACAACAGCCCATTCGATAACACCTGCTATGACACTACCCCCGATAACCTCAACTTCAACACCCTCGCCCGGATCGTTTCCCGCGAAGGGGAAATCCCCCGTTCTTTCCGATCCGTCGACATCATGCCCTTCTCCGATCTTCCCCACGAGGACGTTTTCCTCTTCCTTACCCATCTCCATAACTCTTTCAAGCTCCACCACATGCCCCTTGTCCACTGGCTTCCCATTGCCACATCCCGCCTCCTCGGCAATGCCGCCAAATGGTGGATGGCCGAAGTCAGCAACCGCCGCGCCTCCGGAGGACCTCGTCACTCCTTCCTCCAATGGGCCAACCTTCTCACTGCCACCTTCCGCCCCAGAAAACCATCGATGGCTACCTCGAACAATTATGTCATCTCCACGAGACCGGTCCCACGGACCGCTTCGTCCAATACATCCGCTCCCTCCGTCATCACCTCCCCACCACCGTCATTCCCGACTTTGCGTTCATCTCGCGCATCAAGTGAGTATGCCACAAAGATCTTGCAACCGCCCTCGCCCACGAACCCGACATGCCCCTTGCTGACCTCCTCTCTCTCATGCTTCACCACGATCAACTCCTCCACCCTCATCACCAGTCCTCGCCCGCGCCCTCCATCCCCCACTTCTTCCATAACATCACCCCTGATGACACCACTCCACCCACCTCCGATGACGACTTCGACACTTCCTCTCTCAACCCCTCCCAATTCACCATTGAGGACCTCCAGGCCACCCACCTTATGCGGATGGAACGCCAGGATTGTGCCTCCCAATCGCCTTCTTCCTCTCCACTACGTCGTCTCCAGAAACTTGCACCCGCAAAACGCATATACCTCCAGGAACACAACAGGTGTTTTCGCTGCCGCCAATTAGGTCACCAACAGACTAACTGCCCCAACGCTAGCCGCTTTACTCGACAGGCCCGGCGCTCCGCGGGACCCGGTGTCGGCGGGAATACCCTTACAAGGGTATCTGCCCTGGTTTTTGCAAATGACAGAAAATAAGTTCGGATCAAAAGCCGAGCATACCACGTGAGGCGTGGCCGTGTTATTACCTGAATCGGTTAGGAGGTTGACTGAGTAGAAAGGGGAGGGTGGGCGCGCAATTTTAAGGCGCACGTGTGATTTTTCCCTTTGTGTCTGAATATGGAGCCGGTATGGTCAACCAACCTAATTTCCATTACTGATTAGACTAAGGATTAATAGATTGACTTTTGTTCACCACGCTTGACCGGCGGTAGGTCTGGTGTGCAGGATGGTGTGTGGGACGGCCACGACACAGTTAGGGTAGGCCGGCATGGATGCCTGACGGCCGCATGTCTGGTTGTAGGTGGAGATAAGATTCCGGCAGTGCTCTTGGGCCTGTGCGTGGCCCCACACCGCCTTATATGGGGTTCCGTGCATGTTGGTTCCAAGCTTGGGCTTAGCCCTATAGGTTACGACATTGGATTGTGGTTGTGAAGTACAGGGATCGAGGCCAGCGGACGATGGCGCAGGGGCAACGGAGCAGCATGGAAAAAGCCGAGGGTTGAGGGCCTGTCGGGGCTATCTCCCTCAGTTTTTTTGTTAACAAGCGCGACGACGGGCCCGACCCACGGGACTGGCAAGGTGCCAGCAGCCCCTTACTTCCCTGAAATACCCGTCTTTGTAATTTCTTTTTATTTTTACAGAGTTAATTGTTCCATCCCTTTCGGGGTTTGGTACCCTGGCTAGGACTGCCACCCAGGGGGCCAGCATAGTGGATACACCTACGAACTATTGGTGTACAGGCCGCGGTCGGCGCCTACTGTCCGTCAGCAGGCCCAACAAAAAGGTCATGTGGTCTTGACAGTCCCATGAAAAAGGGGCGGCTGTCCCGATTGGGTCCTTCGGGACATCCGTTAAAACTGGAACGATGTAGAGAAGACTAGCGGGCCCACGCGTGCAGTGACATGTATAAATTGAGGTATGGCCCGAACACCACGACTATTATATTTTTTTGAGAGTATCTCGACGATTCGTCACAGTACGCTTCGGGCGCACTGACGAAAGACAGTGCGGGTGAGAGAGAGCGGAATATTGCAAGTAAAGTTGGGCAGCCACGGGCAGAAGTAAATAGGCAGCGGGTTGTAACGGCGGGTGCTAGTGGAGTGATAAGCAGTGACGGGCGCTGAATCGAAACGGAGGTCGGGCAACCAACAAGAAGCAGAAGTACCATGGGCGCCTTAGTGCGCCAGGTGCATTCATTGGAAAGGTGATCGGAGGCAGCAGAAGGGAAACGAACCTGGCGCGAATTCGCACCGGGGTGCATTTGAAATTTGAGGGACAGCAAAGGAGCTATGGCAGAGTGAAGGAAACACAGCTCGCCCGTTCCTTAGTAGAATCAGGCGAGGTAAAAGCCGATTTTGGGGTTATCACATCAGGCGAGTCACATGGCAGGCTCAGTTTGGTGGTTGAATTAGTAGAAAGGGGGCTAGGTAGTGAAGATAGTGCGCGGAGATGGCGGAAGGAGTGGATACGGTGGGTCAGAAAATCTCGTAGTTCACTCAAGCCTTGATGGAATCGAGTGAGCCAAGATATATTCCGGGGATTCTAAAGTCGGGCGAATCTACTGACGAAGTCGGATTAGCACGAGAGTTAGTAAGTTTGGTGTTAGTAGAAAAATGGGTTGCGCGGGGAGGTGCGAAAGTTCGGATATGGCACAAGTAGGACGTGGAGGCTTCCATTGGCTTCCGATGGAATCGAGCGAAGGGGGCTGGTTTTTGGGATTAGCGGATCAATTTTCTCGCCCGGTAAAGATGAGCTGCGGCGTAGTGTGATGTATCTTCCCGTCATTTAGTGGAAGATTCATTCTCATTTTGCACATTTGATGAGTAGTAAGACGGGGCCCATAGTAGCATATCTGGACATGTTGTCGCAAGTATTCTCTTCGTAATGGTTGGCATCAACAGCTCATTGGTCGGGTTTCTAATAGGGATCGTGTTGAATCATGTGGAGATCGTCATCCCCTTCCTTCTCGATGTTGTCCCCTGGCGCGAAGATCTCCTTCTGCGACAGGCCGTGATTTTCCTCACCAAGCGGGTTGGTTTCTCATGGGTGAAATCTTCGTGGTTTGCAGTAGTGATTATAAGTGTTATGCTCCATCGTTATATCCGGCGAGTTTGTCTCCATTTGCCAGGTTCAACACGGCGGTAGGTTTGACTTGGAAGAGGCGTTGATCGCCACACTGTCGAAGAACCCGTGGGCTCATCGTCAAGGGGGCACTACTTGTGTCAGTCGACCTTGGTGCTGCCCCGATCATCTCCTTGAGGTAGCCAGAGGGAGGAAGTAGCCGGAAGCGGGCCGAAGGGGGGGGTGGGAGTTTACTTGCTGGCCAGCGCGTGGCCCATCCCATCGGCCAAAGCGGCAACGGGCCAACGACAGAGTGCATGCTGGGCCGACTGACTTGTACCTTGCCCACTCTACAGTGGGGAGTAGTTGAACAAGTGGCGCGAGCTTGCGAGGCTTGGAGTAGCGGGCGCCGCGAAAGCGGCTGTGAGGTATACTCTCTCCATGCCGTTGGGACTAGTCTCGGAGGGAGAGTCACCTGCAGTCCAAGCAGCCAACTGGTTGAGATATGAAGTTGCTGAGCTGTTGGGTTTGCCGAATTACGGTTTACTGGGCTACTGTTGGTAAGCCATCGGCTCACGGGGTTGTTGCTAGTATGACTGTGCAAACTACAGTTCGCTGTTTTTGCTACGACGCGACTACGGTTGTGCCCGCTGCTGAAGTCCACTGTTGCGACTGTTCTGGCCGCTACGGTTACAGTGCAATCCGGCTATTGTGATATTCAGTGTTGTGCTGCTGCTGTGCGAGCCGTAGGTTGCTTCAACTGTGCCTCTATTTCCAGCGACTGTTGTACTTGCTGTGGACTGCTGTGGTTGTTGAGCAACGTTGTGCTGCTGAGCGCGTTGTGTCTATTGCAGAAGCGACTGTTGTGTGTGCAGCCTTGCTATGCTAGTCCTCTGGGCGCTCTGAGTTTTCTTTGGGTGATCAGTGGTGGGTTGGACTGCTGTTCAGATAAGGTATGGGGGGGGCGGTTAGGCTACAAAGAAGGCTGTTGCCGCAACTTGGAGGAGTGGTTGTGAAGAGGGTTATTGCTGCGATTTGGGAGTTCGTCAGGAGGGCCTGTTTCAGCAGTTTTGACTTCGGAAGTTGACCGAGTTGTTATATTGGCCACCATTGCGGGGCCCTCAGGCGCATCAAGGTATCAAGACCCTCTCACGCGAGTCTGAGCGCACCACTCTTGTATCTGAGCGTCTCAAACTTATCTCCATCTGCCCTTCTTATTCTAATCACAAATTAAGAAAGTATAACTAAAGAGTTATAATTGAAGGTAATTTGGGCCGACTGAGCATTGTTTCTAAGACGAATGGCTCAGCGCTACGCCCACTTTTGCAGATTAAGTTCAGAGAGATATATATAACTTCGATTTTCGATTGGACTGTCTGCGATCACATATATATATATATATGGTCGTGAGAAGTCCCACTGTGATTGTGAGAAGTGATCGTCAGATACTTATCCCCCTATATATATGTGTAATTATGTTGGGTGTTCGCGTGGCCTGAGTGGGCCACGCTTAAAGGTAAAAATTGGGGTTGGGGTCGAGGAAAGAAAGAAAACCCCCTGAACAGTGTTGTATGCTTCTTAGGGATTTCTTAGTCGGGCGTTAGTCCTGGCCCTGGATTCGAGGTCCTGGGATGTCCTGGTCCTTGTCCAGGACATCCCAGGCCCTAGACTCTGCAGGGAAGGAATCTTCCCCTGGGCAGAGCCTATCTGCCCTGCCCGTCGAGACACCCAACCCAAAGGCCAGAAATGTTGCGAGGGCTGAACGACATGTCCTTCAGCCGTTCAATATCGTGAAGGGCAACCCCTCACGATATATTACTTCAGCCATTCAATATCGCGAGGCCGAAACTGCGATTGCCACGTATGACTAGCATCGCCGGTTGATGTAGGAAGGGTTTGCAATTGTGCAACTTTATATTAACGTCTTGCGCGCGACGTTCGCCTGTCCTAGTGTCTAGAGTTATGGGATTAAGTGATTCGTATGTGTATACGTGTATCAAGAGTCAGTATAGGTCGTTGGTGCCAACCGAAAAGGTTACCCAAGGTTGTGATTTTGGGACGGGGAGGCCTTCGGCCTATTTTTGTTTTCTAGAGTTATTATAGTTGGACGTTGTAGTCCGTGGCAGCCGTCAAAGTCAAACCCCTTGACTCGCTTTCAGGCCCTAGGGGAAGGAGCTGGTCTCCAGGGCCATTAGAGACGATTGCCACCATAGGTACGAACCTGTGTACCACCCACTCTCCGCAGGGTGCGGATGAGGGTGTGGTTCTTAACCGCACTTGGCGGCTACGTGGCACCCTCGGCCGCGGCCGAGCCACGCCCACGCGGGGGCGTGCGCGCTCGGCCTGCGCACGTCGGCCGTTGTCTGCCTGCATTAAAAAGATAATAATAAAAAAAAAAAATTTGGGGGTTGTTTTTGATAGGTAGCAAAAAAATATAAAAATAAAAATAAAAATAAAAATCATTTATTGATTGTTTTTTTTAATGATTGATTGATTGA